TGTATTTGTGTAGAGGCTCCTAATTTTAACATTCCCCCGAGGAAGACCCCTTTGAAAAAGAAATCGGGGACTGCCGCTGGATCGACCAGCGACAAGGCCGATGTGTCGGCCAGCTCTGGTGGATCTCGACCAGAGCCGCATCAGCGGTCGCCCCCACGGCAGACTCCGCCGCCTCCTCCGTAACCGCCCAAGGAAACCCAACAACAACCACAGCCGCAGCCCCAACATTCGCAACAACAACACCAACAACAGCAGCAGCTTCAACACCAGCAGTCGCGTCAAACTCCTCCACCTCCTCCTAGAAAACCCCTCAATTTACTTCTTCCTCGGTTATCCCGCCAAAGGCCTCGACCACTTCCAAGGTCGATGCTCGTCTTTCACAGACTACCGACCACCGCCAAAAGTCCGATGGTCGACATCACAAGCCTGATGAGCGCCATCAAAAGCCCGACGATCGCCACCAGAAACATGATGACCGCCACCAAAAACATGATGACCGCTATAAAAAACCTGATTCTCGAGCTTCTAATCCCCGAGACACCAATCTCCCCAAGTCCACAGAGAAAACCACCGAGCCTAACTCGTCGTCCAAAGAAAAGGCCGTGGAGAAGTCCTCTCTCGACAAGCAGCCTCTCAAGACTCCCTCCGCTGGCTCGACCAAGGCACTGGTCGAGTCCGGTAGTCAGGTTGATACCGAGCGCGAGACGGTGCTGGGTAAATGGCCTCTCACCGATCAGGGTGCGGTCGTCTAGAAACGGGGGCGCGATAGTTATCTTCCCCCCGACCCTCTTGCTCCGAAGCCGACGTCCTTGATGTTGGCGTCCGTGAATGAGGTGTCCGACCGCCTCGAGGGTGTTCTCCTCGAGGACGATCGTAAAAAGCTCGGCCCCACATTGCCCGAATTCGGGAATCAGTTTGTTCAGTGGCTTGCCCAGGTATTACTTTCCTCACGTTTTCCTGGGACCTTTTTTTCATTCCACCTGTTACGCAGGCATTAAGTTGTGCTCTTTTCGTCAATTACAGGGTCTGGTCCAATTTTTGTCTACGGCGCGAGAGGCTCGAGACAGCTCCGGGAAGTCTATAAAAAGCCTTGAGAGCACCCTCCGCTTCCTGCAAGATAAGAACTCGACCCTCTTGTAGCACAATACCAAACTCCGCGAGGC